CTCATTGCGTACTCCTACGATAAACATAATGCCCTAAAATATAATACTTTTAAACTATTCTCTTCCCCATAGATTTCAATGCCGTAAACATATTTCATCCAGTTTTTCTCAGCCTTACCCCCACCCCGATGCCAGCCTCATTCTACAACAATGGCACCATATAGCATTTGTCCCTTTGTGACTGAGATACCTCACTTAGCATAATGTCCTCCAGGGTCACCCATTTTGAATAATATTGCATGAGTTTCTTGGTTTTCAATGCAGCATAGTATTCCATTGTTCGGATATACCACAGCTTCTCTACCCATTCGTTTGTTGATGGGCATTTAGGTTGTTTCCAACTCCTCGCTATTGTAAACAAAGCTGTGATAAACATGGGTATACATATATCTACTTGGATGTCATTTATGGTCTCTTTAAGGTATATTCCCAGTAGTGGAATTACTAGGTCAAATGGTATCTCTATTTGCAACTTTTTGAGAAAGCGCCACATTGCTTTCCATATTTCCAACTTTTTAAGAAAGCACCAAACAACCTTCCATAGTTGTTGCACCATTTTAAACTGTGTTATTTACAACAGAAAAAAAAAAAAGCAACCCAAGTCCCCACCAACAAATGAACAGACAGAAAAACTATGGTATATTCATACAATGGTATGCTTGACAGCATTGAAAAACAATGAACTCCTGTTAAACCTTGCCACTACTAATGGAGTGAGATGGTTTCTCATTGTGGTTTTGATTTGCATCTCTCTTATTGCCAGTGATTTTGAGCATTTTTTCATGTGTCTGTTGGCCATCCAAATATCTTCCTCTGTGAAAATTTTCTCTATGCCTTTTTTCCATCTTGTAACTGTGTTCTCAGTCTTTTTCTTGTGGAGGACCTGTTGGATTCTGTAAACTTTTGATATGAGACCCTTGTCTGAAATGGTATTGCCAAATGTTTGTTGTTGTTGTTGTCTTTTCCCCCAGTCAGTAAGTTTTCTTTTCACTCTGTTGGAAAATGTTTTTAATGTGCATAGGGATGTAATCTTTAGAAGGTCCCATTCATCATTTTTATCCTCTCAAGATTATGCGTTTCTGGCTGTATTTGGCAATTCCATCGCCAGAACATGGAAACAGTCCAAATATTCAACCACAATAGAATGGATTGAGGAATTATAGTTCATTTACATGATGGAATACTATCATATATGGCACCTATTCAACACAATTCTAATCCAAATACCAAGTTCATTTTTCCAAGAAGATAGTAAGGGAAATTGTCAAGTTTATTTGGAGGAGAAAGAGACCCTGAATACACAAAGCACTCTGAAAAACAAAAATGAAGTGGGAGGCAGAACACTTCCTGACCTCAAAACCTACTACACAGTGGTAGTAACAAAAACAGCATAATACTGGCATAATTACAGGCACATAGACCAATGAAACAGAATTGAGAACCTAGAAATAGACCTCTCTATCTATGGTCAACTGATATTTGACAAGGAAATAAAACCTATCAAAGGGGAAATGACATCCTCTTCAACAAATGGTGCTGGGAAAACTGGACTGCTACTTATAGAAAGCTAAAATAGGATCCACATCTCATACCATACACAAAAATCAACTCAAGGTGGATCAGAGACCTGAGAGTAAACTCCTAAACCATAAAGTTTATAAAAGAGAAACTGGAACCAAGTTTAGAAGGTCTAGTCTACGGTAAAAGAGACTGACAAATACAACAGGAATTGCACAATCTGGAGAGGATAAAATTGATGAATGGGACTTTCTTATGAATATATTCATAAAAAACTCTTCCCAACAGGGTGGGAAAAAAGCCTACCAACTTGGAACAAACATTTGTTAATACCATTTCAGACAATGGTTTCATAACAAATGTTTACAGGACCCTAGAGGGCCTCCAGAAGAAAAAGACTGATAACCTAATTACAAAATGGGTAAAAGTCATGGAAAGAATTTTGACAGAGAAAGATATTCACATGGTCAAAAGATAAATGAAGAAATGCTCAAAATCACTGACAATAAGAGACTTGCAAATAAAAATCACAAGATACCATCTCACCCTAGTTGTTGTAGACTGCCGTCGAGTTAAGCACAGCTTATAGCGACCCTATGAACAAAATACCAGAAGCCTTTCTATAACTATTGTAATCTCTCAAAGTTCATAGAATTTCCAAAGATATGTTGTTTAGGAAGTGGATGCTACTCCTGCTTCCAAACTTGTCTTAATCTGGTAGCTTCATCAAACACTGTCCTCTATGGGTAACCGTTAGGCCATTTGACATGCCAATGGTACAAGGTTCAGCAACCTCAAGTTATCTCAGTATAGCAAATTGACATAAGAACCACTTAGAAGAAAGTTCCTCCACAATATAACAATTGACTTTTCAATATAAAAGCCCTTCATGAGTATTGTTGACTTTAAACAAGAGGCTTAAATGAAAGACAACCAATATAATTTGTTGTTGTTGTTGTTGTTGTTGTTGGGTGTCATCGAGTCACCTGTGACCCATAGCAACCCTATGTAAAGCAGCTCTGAACCCTTCTCTGTCCTGAGCCAGTCTCATTAATTCCAACACACCAACTCTCATTGCCCCAGTTACTGTATCAATCAATCTCATATGGGGTCTTCCTGTCCTTCAATGTCCCTCCACCCTTCTAAGCATGATGTCATACTCCAAGGGCCTGTCTCTCCTGGCCACCTTCCCAAAATATATGAGGTGAAGCTTCAAAATCCTAGGAGCAGTGGAAAAGCTTAGTATGGCAGCAAGCCATAAATATTGGAGAATGTGGAGATGAGGAAATGCTCATACACTGTTGATGGGATTGTAAAATGGTGCAACCACTCTGGAAGACAGTATGACATTTCCTCAAAAAGTTGAACATAGACACTCCCATATAACCCAGCTATACTAATACTAGGAATATACACCAAGGAAATCAGAACTAAGACACAAACAGAGATTTGTACACCAATGTTCATGGCAACATTATTCACCATCACAAGAACATAAAAACAGCCCAAATGTCCAACCACAACCAAATGGATTAAGATATCCACATAATGGAACACTGTGCAGCACTCAGGAGCAATGATTTTGAAAAGTACTCCATAACTTGGAAGAAACTGGAGAGAATAATTAACTTAGTCATATAAGGACAAATAGTACATAAGACCATTATTGTAAAAATATAAGTAAAACATGCAGTAGAAGGGGGGAAGGATGGGAGTGGAGAAATAAGGACGGATAGGGGTCAAATTGCAGTGTGGCACAGTTTGTTGAATGGAGAGAGGGGAAGGAAGTTGGAAGGCTCTGGATGAGAAGAGACTGCAATGATTGGCATCATCCAATGATAATTTTATAAAATATAGTGTGAATGAATAATTATACGAAATATAATGTGAATGAAGAATAGTGTGAAACACAATGTAGAAGAACTTTGTGAAAGAAAGAAAGAAAGAGAAAGAAAGAAAGAAAGAAAGAAAGAAAGAAAGAAAGAAAGAAAGAAAGAAAGAAAGAAAGAAAGAAAGGAAGGAAGAAAAGGAGGGGAAGGGAAGGGAAGGGAAGGGAAGGGAAGGGAAGGGAAGGGAAGGTTTTGCTCTTGTTGGGTGAATTGTTCAAGATATGACTTTTTTTTGGAAGATTTTTCCACCGATAATTGTTATATATGTCATCCCATTTCCTTCTTACAGCAGAGATTATAAGGAGAATGCAGAACTCTGAAAAGTTAGTTATCTCAATGACACCTAACTACCTAACAAAAACAACAATAAATATTTCCTTTTTGTATCCATGACTTGTGCTGAGAAACCAAAACTTGGTCTTATTGGTTCTCTTTAATGGATAACTTTATTTTTCTTGAAGAGATTTCAAAGAGCTTTTCTCAGTATTCTTTTTTTGTCTTTAATTTAGGAAAATTTTATAATATGTCTTGTAGGGGTTTTTGTGGGAGAGGAAGGCTATCCTACTTATGATTTGCTCAGATTCTTGAATGCTTATTTGCGAAGTGCTCAAGAGCAACGGTGTCTCTTTGGAGACAGAGGTGAGCCTGATACAGGCCATGGTCTTTGCAATCACTCGTTATGCATCAGAGAGCTGGACAATGACTAGGGAGGACAGAAGGAGAATTAACGCCTTTGAGCTGTGGTGCTGGAGAAGAGTATTGAATGTACCCTGGACTGCCAAGAAAACAGATTCATCCAAGAGAGGGTTAAACCAGGTTACTCCTTGGAGGCAAAGATTCTGGGGCTTCATCTGACATACTTTGGATATGTTGCAAGGAGAGACAGGTCTTTGGAGAGGGACATCATGCTGGGTAGAGTAGAGGGACAGCGCAGGAGGGAAAGACCCTCTATGAGGTGAATTGATTCAGTGACTGGGATAATCGGAATGGGTGTGTCAGAGGCAATGTGATTGGCACAGGATAGAACAGGGTTTAGGGCTGTTGTACAGAGGGTCGCTATGAGTCGAAAACGACTCGACGGCACATAACAACAACAACAATAGAACTTTGTCTATTTTCCTGATGTGTCTCTATGGTTTCCTCATACATCTTATTTTGATGAAGACACTTAACTATCACTCTTTCAAATTCCTTATCCAGAAGTTCAGATAGTATATTTTCCTCGGAAAGATTTTATGGTTCTGTATATCGGTCACTTTTTCTTTACATCATGTCCTGCATTTTCTCATTTTTTAAATTATTATTAATTTTAATGAAAATTTAGAGACACTTGGGATTTCTATTCACACATTGTTGCACTTTTCTCCCTGCTTACCCCTCCCCCAGTACACTCTTCTTTTTGAAAAATAAAAGAAAAATTATTTCATTGTTTTACAATCCCTCCCCATAGGTCCACACCACTATGCAGCCTTTGTTCTGGACTCCTGTCATGACAATAATACCTAATCACATATCCCTTTTAAACAGTTTTTGCCCTCATCCGTTTCAATGCAGTATACATTATTTATCCCATCTTTTTCAGTTTCCCCTCAAACCCAATGTCACTCCTGTTTTACAACAGTGGCTCTATGTAGTATTTGTCCATTTGTGACTGAGATACTTCACTCAGCATAATGCTGTCCAGGGTCACCCATTTTGAA